CGTTTGGAAGTCGATGAAGGTGGGCCTGGCGCTCGCGAGGACACTGCAGAGGCTCAACGCGTTTGGCGTTTGATGAGACTCACGGGGTGGCTCAATGCCACCGCCAGACTGCGCGAAAGGTCAGCTCATGTCGACGATCTTCTATGTCTGAATCTTACGAGTGCCATCAGAGCGGGCGGTTCGGTGAACTGGGCCGCCCAGCAGCAAGCAGCGAATGGCGCCAATCTGGATGAGACGGGGCGCTGGGAAGTCAGAGCGCACTCGACTCATGATGATAGACATTGGCATCGACAGCTTGTGCGAAGGAGCCTTAGGAGCCTAGCTTTGAGGGACGGTCGATCCTTGTCAGGAGCCGAGGCGCGCGCCCGGGATGAACTTGAGAGGGCGGTAAGGCGGGGCTAAGAGGTTAGGGGCCTTCCGAGTGCTTTAGACACACAGTAGTTCCTGCATAAACATACGTATATTGGTGGAATGCAGTTAGTCTCTACGTAAGCTTCGCCGTCTCTCTTCGAGGTGGATGAAAGCATCAAGGAGCCTAAGCGCTAGCATGGTCGAGACCGTCTGCAAAACGTAACGTCCGTTGATTGTGACATCTGTCACGTTTATTCGTTTATAACAGATTCGTTCATTCTCCTTCCGCGACTGCCACTGTACCCCGCCCTTGCCGATCTTGCGTCTCCTATATCTAAACTTCTCTATTTCAACACCGCGCGAGGCTACTCGTGCGCCCTGGGCCGCCGCACGGGAGCGGTTACCGTCGTTCCTAACATCGCAACCCTTTCCTCAAGCTTAGACCGGACTTACGGGGATTATCTTGCCGTGAGTCTTCGTCCATTCCTGCTCACTACCCATCGATCCTACACCGCCGCGGCCTGTCTTTTGTAACGTTGATGACGGCCCTCCGGCTGACTGATACGGTGTTTCCTCTTCTTGTCTGGCCGCGGCCGGTGGCGCAACTTTCCCATCATATGTCACCCCCTAAAGACGCTGACTTACGCGTGCGTAGACTGCCCGCTATGCCGACCCGCGAGGAAGCCGAGGCACGCTCTCGCTTACTTCTGCTCTTTCAAGTTGCTGACTTCTGTTTTCAGTTCGAATGGGAGCCTGCTCACGAAGCTCGCTTGGACTACGCGCGGTCGCTAGAAGAAGGCGTGTACGACGCTCAACCCCTGCGCGTCAACGTCGACTACGCGACCTTAGTCGAGCTCGCTGTACGTCGCGGTGATTCCATTGGATACGGCGTCCCTGCTTTCGCTGTCAGTGGCGAAGAAGACCTGGTCTCAGAAGCTTCGCTATCACCTCCGCCTTCCCCACGTACGTGTCGCCTTTGCGCTAAGCCAAGCGTCCTCGGCCTCATGCAGACGACAGTTACGCCGCTTTCCGAAGAAGAAGCATCGGGCTTCGACGCCGAGGTCTCAGCGGAGAGGATCGCGGCGGCCATCGAGGTCGTCGTGCGAGAGCGGGCGCGGCGTGGAGAACAAGCGCGGGAGCCGTCCAGCTACGAGCGCGGACCGCGCCAAGGCGGTCGTCAGCACGGCGCAGCGAAGAAGTCAGCGGCGCGTAATAACGGGCAGACACGCTCTCCCGGAGTCAATCGCCGCTCCCAGGCTGGTTCCAGGGCGCGCAAGAAGAGACGCAAGGAGGAGGAGAATGCGCGCTTGGCCGACCGCCCTTACGACAGAGTTCACGAAGCCGGCTACCATCGCCACAGGTTTCCTGTCTTTTTCGTGTCGCTGAAGTCGCTACGGGTGGTATACGAGACCGTGTCGTCCGGTTATACAGCGAAGCGACCTCATACTAAGGTCCGCAATCGCCTGTGGACGGACGAAGATCTTCGCCGCGTCGGCTCAGTCCATTTCCCTTGGACCGGCGAGTAAGTGGCGATTGCGGGTCGTGTCAACGGCTGATCTCTGCGGCTCACCGTCATCGCAGGGCGTCCGTGGCGATTATAGACTCGAGACACATCTGCGTAGGCGTCTTGGTCGCACCCCCGAAGGGAGAGTCGTTCCAGAACAGCGGTCGCGCGATGGCTGATCTCATCGAGTCTCAACGCGTTCAGCATCCGCGGGGTTGGGCTCGCACGCTTGGCAAGAAACGCGGTGATTTCCCGTCTCTGTCGGTGGGGATTAATTACAACTTCAGCGAAGCGGTGAGCTCTCCGCCTTCCGACTGTCGTATTCTCTGACGAGAGTCGTAGCGCCCGAAGAATCTGTCGTTGAGCAAAGAACAAGAGGCCGTGGCAAAGGCGCTTCTTGAGAGCCCTGACGGGCGACGCGTCGCCGGGCATATGAGCGGTGCGCTCTCATTCGCTTGACTCTGCTCACGCTGACTCTGCTCACCAGAGTCATTCGCTCATTACTTCCCCTTCGCGTACGAGCACGCCTGCGACCGCATGCGGGAACTGCACGCCTTGCTCCCCGATTTGAAGTTCCCTTACCCGAACTGCGTCTACCCTACAGTGACATTCAACGGCGGGCCTCAGACGGCTACCCATGAACACGCCGACATCACCAATAACCCTGGCACGCCTTGCATGGTCTTTGCCTGCGGCGATTACCTCAAGGAGCACGCGCGCTTTATCTTCCACGACTTTGGCCTGCACGTCGATTTGCCGCCCAACTGCGGCGTCCTACTCTCCTCCGCCTCGGTACGCCACAGCAACACGGCCTTAGCGGAGGGAGAGACCCGTTACAGCATAGCCATGTATATGCCAGGGGCGCTCATTCGATACGCGGCTTACGGCGGCAACGTCGGCGAGGTCTCCGGCGCGCAACGAGCCCACCTCGACGAGCTTCATAAGGAAACCTGGCGTCATCAACACTCCAGGTTGTCGGGCTTCTGGCGCCTCCCCCAGGATCGTGAGAAGGTTCGAGCGAATGAGCAGGCGCGTGCCAGGGCGCAGAGGAGCGTATGAGCGTTGTACCTTAGCAACGCGTGCCCCTCGACGCCGGGCGCGCTGATGCTTGAGCAACCTACTTTTCTATAAAACTCGATAACGCATACGGAGTTTGAGTCTGATGCCTGAAGGACCACAAGAACTTCAACTCTGAGCTAAGTGAGTTGAATGGCGCTTCGAGTGCTCGTAGTTTGGCTTTGTGCATGCGGACGCGCTCTGAGACGCGTTTCCGCCAGGTCACCTGATCGCGTTCCGGCCCTGTGGATCCGCATCAACTTCCGAATTATGATGAACTGATAGCGAAGACAGGCGAAGACCAGGCTCTCTTAAGTACGGCTCACGCCTTTGTGAAGCAAGCATACACGACACGAACCAACCTTCAAGCTTCAAGCTTCAAGCCCCTGGGCTCGGAGAACCCGGCTTGAGTCAAAAGGGCACGTCATCTTGAAAGCGCTCCCATTGGCCCACAACCCTTGCTCGATTTCTTGATCGGACCGCGATCGCCCGTCGGCAAACTCCGAAGATTGCTCGCGTGCGAAGTCGACTTGTGACGGCCTGATGTGCGGCACTTGCTCTTGTCCTCGTCTGTATCGTCTTATTTCATACTTTTAGACCGTGTGAACTTCTATCTCACCTACTATAAAAGACCGCGCGCCGCTTCTTCAGCTTGAATCGCTCTTTGCTCTTGACCGCCATGTCCGCCCTCGCTACTGTCTCTAACGATACTATTGACTGCACTATGCAGCGTACGTGTACCCAGTCCGTCTACTCACAGAACGTAACTACTTTCTAGTCGAGCGAATGCACTACTACGTTGGCTGTCTCCTCGTTGCGTGCAGCGACGTCGGTCCCGCGGCGTTCAACATCGACAGCGTTCCTTGCCCCGACGAACTCGCGCCGTTCTATCAACGTGTGCGCAACGGCCCCGCGGACAACGACATCCCTGTCCACATCATATTTCTCGGTAACCGCGTTGGCATTACGACCTCGGTGTGCGTCGTCGTCGCGTTGCGTCTTGTGTGCGCCCTCTGACCGCAATAGCGCTGTGAGCGACGACGCTGTCAAGGGTGAAAGCGAGTCCTACCGCCTTCGCGTGAAGCGCCCTCGCGCCGTACGGGCTTGGTCCTTGTGGCGGTTCTGGATCCGGACCATCGTGAAGCTGGCCTTTGAGCGCGATGATCTCAGCGAGCACGGCGCTCTCGTACGGGCTGCTCGCGTGAAGCTTCCCGTTACGAAGGAGATATGTTCCATGGTGCCGCTGGAGTGGCCGCCGCCGCCGTCGCCGCCACCGCCTAACACTGTGCGTGTTATCGTTAGCCTCGTGATCGTTGCTTAACCTTCTTGTGTAGGATCTTATCATTGTCGAGTCGGATTCGGACGAGGAGTCGGAGGACGAGGTAGAGGCCTATTTGCTCGCGTTTGATGATTAACGACTTGCTGTTCATCTTGTTTTGGATATATACGCTCGATGTACTTATATCTCGCCGTCCTTTGTACAAATCTTGTGCTGCTGCTGTCTGTACGCTATGTTATTCATCCGTCGTTAACCTTCGACGCGACGAATCCGCTCGACATCAAGTGCCACACGTCCTCGTGGCCGTGGTCGGTATGGTTCTTGACTTCATCAGTTCATCGGTGCCTGATGACGTCCGCTGCCTTTTCCATCATAAGTAAGGCGCGTGCTCTTGATTTGTCCGCCCCTTCCATTCCCGCCCGGTCAATCAGCTTATGTTTCCCCCCTATTTTCTGTTTCCGCGATACGACATGAAAAACCATCATGCTCGTCCCTTTGCCCCACGAGTGAACTGAACATAGCGGTGCCCGCCCGGCCAAAGGCCAGCTTTTCGTGTTTTGACTCGATAAGGCATCCACACGTCGAGGCATCAAATGTTCTGGTCACCCTCAGGCGAACGTCGTGTACTCGCATTCTCTCAAGCTGCCTGTTGATGTTATTTTTACATTCATTTGTATTTTAGAATACGGTACCATCCGGAGACCATGGCGATGATAGGCTGTCGGGGGCTCCGAGCGTCCGACGGCTTCAACTAAGTAAGGTAGTCGAGCTGTAAGCATCACTAAGTACTACGTACGAGCCTCCTACCTAGTAGACGCACGTGATACGACGTGCTTCCGGCTTGAATGCGCGGCCGGTTCTACACGAGTGATCGTTGTCTAGTCCGACGGGTGGCGCAGGCCCAACCTTGCCCGAGAACGACACCACGGCAACATGGCCAGCTTCATGAACCCTCAGCATGCTCTGCCGACGGCCGTAGTCGCTCTCTTTACTCGGTCTACCTGCCCTAGGCCGTTGCTCAAGTGCTCATTGCTCGTTCGAGCCACCGTTTGATTGAATACACTACAATTTAAATACCGTATACGTGCTGCACGGCCGACCACTCCGTGTAACCTCCTCGATTGCTTTGTCCCTCGCTTTCAGTGACGTCCCCTGGCTTCACCCTGAGCTCTGTGATTGAGGCTCAACCTAGGACTAGCGTATACTACGTTGGCTTACTTACGTATAAAATAAGGGAGTCGTGCAATTAAATCATATTCTCAGAGATTACTTACAGTCAGATCAACTACTCAGTCAACATTTGACGTATGCCTTCTTAGGAGGATAGCGGATTCGGAGACTATATGAGTATTAGTGGTGGTGGTGGTAGAACACCGATGGGCCCCGTGCAAGGGGCTGGTTGGATCGGGGCCTCGCAGTCAGCGGCCTGTGTGGGAAACGCCTGATCGTGGGTGACCCTAAACCACGCCGGACCCGACTCAGCCGTAGCCGCCACCACTGCGAAGAACCGCTCTACCTGTCTGCCCCTCCTCTTCGTCTTATACCCTACCGTCATCCAACTTCAAAATACCCTGTTCAACTTCGCGATGGCACACGTCGCGGAAAAGACGTCGGCGGACTCTTCAGGTCCAACTGATCAGCTCTTGAGCGGGAAATTGGGTGGCGGGTTATGGGAACACTATAAGAAAATTGTCATGGAGGAGGGGGCCGACTTCAACGAACTGTCCGATACTTCCATGAACGGCGTCCTTACCTTCGTACGTGTGCTTTCGACGTCATAAAGTCACCACAGAACTCATCGTCTGTAAAGGCCGGTCTCTTCGCTGCAACGCTTGCGGCGTTTTTAGCTGAGACTTATAAATCGCTTTCGCCCGATTCAGATGGTAAGCCAAAAGCGTGCCTACTATGATGGAGCTTAGTGGCTGAAGCAGCACTAGAGTCTGCAGGCGCGACGTCCTCAGCAGTCGTGGTAAACACGCTATGGGTGGTGGCCCTAGTCATCTCGCTGCTATGCGCGCTCTTGGCGACGCTGATTCAAGACTGGACGAAGACTTTCCTCAGAGTCCAGGCTCACCCGACGGCGGCGACTCTGGAGCAACAGTGCCTCGAACACATGTCGGTGCATATGGGCGCGCAACGCTACGGCCTACCATATGCCCCCAGACTTGTCGTCGGCTTCTTGCACGCGGCCGTTGTTCTCTTTCTGGCAGGGATAGTGGTCTTCTTTTGGGATCTGAACCCCGCTCCAGCTCGCGCAGCTCTCGGCGTGGCGGGGAGTTCTCTCTTCGTTTACGCCGTCGCAAGCGGCTTGCCCCTGTTCGACGCCTCATGCCCCTTCCGCACTCCCTTGACGGACGTCTACGTCTTCTTAATCACGCTCGCGACTGTCGTCATCCCCGGAACCCTGTTTTACGGCTTTCTGCTCCTCGCCGCAGCGTGGCAGAGGATCGCCAAAGGGCACCTTAACGCCAGCTTGCGCCGAATGCTCAACCCCGTCATGTTTGCATCCCAGTTCAAGGACCCCTACACCGCTTCACGAGTGTACGATGCGATCAAGGACTACCACGCGCGGCGCAAGTCCGAGGAGCCTCCGCCCCTACTGCCCCTCGTCTTCGACGCCATCATGGGCAACGACCAAGCCAAAGAGTCGGCTGTGAACGCGCAGAAAGTAAGGTTCCTCTGGGATCGGGTGGGACCCTACGCAATGGAGAACCCAGAAGCTCTCCAGTACGTGGCAGGGGCGCTCATCGACGGGTGGTCCCCTGCCATCGACGACATGCTTGTAGGGCTGTGTTACGACGCAGCCGAGTTGCCGAAGGTCGCCGCCGCCCTGGGATCTGCCCGCACTACGTTCGCAGCGACGTCCATGTTGCGACTGCTTCAGTTGCTCTTTCAAGCAGAGGACGCGAACGATCGGGCCTTAAGGGCCACGGCGGGCCAGGGTGTCCGGTGGCAGGCAACTGATGTAATCGCGAACGCCTTTGCGGAATTTGCTCGACAATTAGATGCGCTACGCCAGCTAGAGATAGAGCAGCGAGACACAGAAGTGCTCGCCACACTATCGAGTTTCCGGACCACACTCCTCCAGCTCTTGGCCCGTACATCCCCGTCGCCCCGAGACGCGAAAGCGCGGACCCAGATCTTGAGGATATTTGCCGAGTTGCAGCGCTACGATGGAACTAAGCTTCGAAACGTTTCCGCTGACGACACTGAAGAGATGATGGACCTCTTCAGCCTTGGTCGTGGCGACGCCGTGGAGGTCGTCGTTGCGAAGCTCGCATCTCGCAACTCCCTCACTCTCATCGCCGGTGCCAAGGAGAGCGGTTGGGAGGGGGCTTGGGACGACCCTGACCGACGTTACCTGCGCCGGGCTGTTCCCGGCACGTTACGCTGGCGCGAGCTGTTCCCAGCCGCCACCCAGCGTGGGACTTCGGCCGCCTCTACCTTCTTCCGCGATCTTCTCAAGGAAGTTGGTCTAGGCCATTGGCTTTTGCCAGGGTCGACGTTTACCACTCCACCGCACACCTCGCTGAAGGCAGCGGCGGTCGTCACACTACGCGACATAGCCAGCACAGTCGACTTTCGCCCTCTTATTCAAGAATCGCGTCGCCCAGACCATGAATTGACCAGCGCCTCGACCGCAGCCGAGGCGTATGAGATGCCTGGCTCTCCCAGGCTAGGCAAGGCCGAGGAAGGGACTCTAAGGTGTGTAACGGCGGCAGAACTACTGGCTTTCCCTCGCTGACTCTGCACAGCAGTTTGTCGCACGATTAATCAGGTGTGCCTTACCAAGTGTAGAAAGGCGGGCATCATTCCTCATGAGAGGATCTCGTTCTTTCTCATCTTGACCTCAGCGCGCTTATTTACATCCATCGCTACCTATACGGGTTTTCTGCTGACCTCGTTGTACTAGTCTCTTGCGTCTGTCGTTGTATAGTCCTGTATGTTGTTAATCATCTCATGAGCTCGATGTGCATGCAGAAGCTCGGCTTCTTGTCTTGTGGTCTAGGCGCAGGTATGGACTCGAGCCGCCAACATCAGGAAACATGAGCGCGAGTCGCTGAAAGCACGCGCAGAGTGAAGCAGTCGTCATGTTTCCGACGCAGTACCCTGGGCTCGTATGATGTTTTATTAGCACGCCGTCACTCATCTGTGAATCTGACGCGCTTGCTTACTGTAGCGCAGTATCCACGGTGCAGACCAAAGCGCTAAAGCACTAGGGTTAAGGTTGAGATTGCCCCTAAGCGCCTAAGCCGCAAGAACCAGTCACGGACGACTTTCTCAGGATGATGTCTTCGCAAGTACAACTGCTACCACCACCCCTGCCAAACGTAGTCCAGATATGAGGGCTACAATCCGCTCGGCTGTCAGACGAATACCCCATACGTACCTGGTAGAGATTGGTCACTGGGGACGGGCCTCATTTAAGTACCGTGACGACTTGCGATCTCTTCCATACATCTGCACAAACTACTTAGATGTATATAGTACCTCAAAGACGCTGTCTGATTGCTAATAGGCTATCGCTAAAACTAGCTATGATGGGCGACAGCTTCACGCGAACGACTATCAGCGAGAATTGGTCTCTGCGTGCGAAGCACGGGTATCGACTAGTAACGAGACGTAGTGACGGACTATTGAAAGAGACGATAAGTGGTTGCGCGGTAGGTGGAGAGAAAGATTGCGAAGATGCGGAGTAATCATGAATGTACACAACAGCACGACAACATAGAGCAGATAAGGCGGGCAGAGCGCGTGTTGAAAGCCTTGAAAGAGAGTGAAGGGGCGAGGTTCAAGATTATAAAGCGACTTGCTGGTGAACGAACAAGCAGGAGAGAGTCAACGGGGGTAGATGAAGGGAGGGCGAGTACCGGCAGAACAGGTCCGACACTAAAGAAAGGAGGTCAACACATGCACGTAGCTGGGGCAAGTACCGCGTAATCGCGCGTCGCTTGCGCCGTGGACCGTCGTTAGAGCTCGGGGGTGTGGCCTCCGCGGCGGACGGAGCGCCGCGTCGGATGCACGGAACAGTGCATCTTCAGCAGCTGAGAGTGTAGAGAGCATGGCGCACGTCCCGTTCGAAGCGTCGTCCAAACGTTGTAGGCACGCATACCATGACGACGCCGGCGCAATAAACGCGTGGTTGATTAGGCAGGAGGCTTGCCAACCCATAGGCGCCAATCTAGGGCATCGCAGATGGCTCGCTCGCAGCGTCCGAGCTCCCGAGGATGAAGCGCCGCCAGCTTGGCCCATGGGCGATTGGAGTAGCATCTGTCGTGCAAGAACTTGCTCGCAAGGACGAGTGCGGCGATGAACGTACGCCGCGGGTCAAGTAGTGGCGACGGAAGGTTCAGTGAAGTCGCTGTGGTCAAGGAGTCAGCTTGATTGCCCTGATCAAGCCAGCGACGTAGATGATACTCCACCGACGGAGTCAATCCCCGGCGCGCAGTCTGGTAGGAACCGTAGGGCGGGCTTATTGGTCCGAAGTCCTTTTCAACGTCGGCGTCCCCAGCAGCGAGAGCGACGAGCATGCGTTGGTCTGCATCGCGTCGGCAGCATCCAGCCGCTTCAGAAGCAGCAAGTCTGACTATCTCCGCGCGTATGGCCTTGACGTAGCAAAGAGCCGTCTGCAACATCGGGACGGTCGTAGGAGAGTGCTTGAGCACTTCGATGACGAATTCTCGAAGGTCGACTGCGCCTTCGTCGACGTCGTACTTTCCAAATGCGCATTTAGCATGCGCTCCCATGACAGGCGAAGCGGGGGGGGAGGGGAGGAGAGCTGAGGGTGAAGCTGGAGAGAGAGGAGTGGCGGAAGAGCCGGGTACGTCCTGCAAAGCGCGGACAGCGAAGAGGGAACCAACTGCATTGACAGACCACACGTCGTGTAGAGTAGAGACGGTAATGTCTAAATCCGCCAAAGGTTGGAAAGTGCCTGTCGTCGTCTAGAGCTCATGACTCACCTACAAGCTGAGACAAAGATCGGTTGCGAAGGACTTGAGGATTTGCGACGTTGACCACAACAGTGACCTGATGGGCGGCCAGCTCTGTAGCGGGTGGGCAAACTATCAAAGTTCCACTACGGGAGTTTGAAGGGCGGGAGTACGGCTTGTACCGGCTTGGGCGAGTGCGTGGGGGGCGTCCATAACCCGGGTCGGCGACATGACAGGAAATCGTACGCATAGACGAACGAGCAAGCTGTGGCAGGAGCGTAGAGTGAGTGAGTGTTGAATGTTGAGATCCACGACGAAGAGGGACAAACGTAGGGTTGGTCGCGGGTGCGGACAGAGACCTATATACTGCGGATCGGCTCGACGTGTCTCCCCAGACTCCTTCCCACCCGCCTGCGACCTCCAGGCATTTGCTCTCAAGTGGTGGGAAGGAGTCTAGTGTCTCCCGTCCGTCCGGGCGTCATATGATGGACTCATAATACACTCAGCAGGGTGGCGTTCGCTGCGTGTAGCTACTAGACTGACTGTTAAACCAAAACCACTAGTTGAGCCTCTTCACCGTTTCGGACCTCATTGTATAATATCTGTTTTTATCAATCGCGTTACGTATGGTAACCCGCCTGTAGTAGTGCACAGTACTTCAGCCAAACGTAGTACGATGAACGATCGATACGAATACAAACACTATCGACGTTCAGAGCAGTAGACGTTTAAGGAGATGGCCTCGTACGTGGACGACGAACTCTACACACAACCTGTTACAGCTTCTTCCTCGGGAAAGGCTTCGGCGTGCGCGACGACCTACGCTTCGCGGCCTTCGCTGGGACCTTCGACCTTCGCCTCGCCATCTCCTCTACCTCCGCCTGTCTTCTTCGGACTCTGCGTCGCCGATTTATATGAGGTCTCCGCTTATGAAGCGCTTATTCGTCTCCATGACCCTCGCCACCTGATCGGTACGGCGGTGCATCAGCGCTTCGCGGAGCGTACTCGACGCCGCTGTCCTCGGCATAGGTCCGGGCATCCGACGTCGCCTCAACATATCGCGGGCCTCTTGAGCGCACGATCCGCATAGTCTCCGCGGCGTCCAACGTCGTCACCCTGAAGTTAGAGCACGCCTCTGGACCTATCGCGTTGGCCTTGGAATCACGTCTATGACGCCGATAAGCCCGTAGCATCTGTTGACGTTGAACACATCCTTGCACGGAAGCTGCTGGATGTTGCGCCGTGCCTGCACGACCAGCGCTATGTGGTTCGCCTCAGGTACAGATGCGTACACCTTCGTCGCCAGTCGCAACTTCGAAGCCCGCCGGTGGGCAGGCTTGGCCTTCAGAGGCGCATGATAGCCGACCTATGACCCGGTTAACTGCGTAGGCTAGGTATGGGAGACGCTGTATTCACCTGACCATACGTCGCGGCTTTAAAGGCCACCAACTCCGTAGCCACCTGCGTCGCTGCTTCAACGTCGACGCCCTGCCCAGTCTGCGAGGCCGACCATACCAAGTCGCACCCACGAAAGACCCAGTCCGTGAAGTTCCTACCGGCACTCGCGCTTCATGGGCGGCCTACTCGTCTCGGGGTGCTCCGCGCTATCAGCCCTCTGCATCGTCTTTTCCGTCGGTTGCCGCGTTGTCAAACGCATCAGAGTCGTTCTCGACCGAACACGCGCAGCCCTGAGTACTATAAGTATGCGTCGTCTCATCGTCAGGCGTAGTCACAGGCTGCGTCGCCTTGTTGTCGAGCGTGATCACAGGCGGCAATCCTCTTCCTAAATCACAATACTGTGAGCCACCCTATCAAACCGTTCTGAGCGGACAACTCCTTACATCCTGGACTACCGTAGCGTCCCAGAACCTCCGCAACGTGCTTCAGTGCTCAGATACGTTGACTGTAACGGTTGGTCGTACTCACTTGGCTATTTCCGTTGTGTACGTCGTCGCTCATGGGGGTGCCTTCACCGATGGGCGCGTCTCGCGCGGACAAGCCCCGCTAGCGTATACGCATCCTCTTGAGCACGAGAGGCTTACAAAACCGTGTGCGACGTACTGGGCCAGTAAGACGCAAGTCGCCTCCCGGCGACTTCCGTCTGTGCTTGGGCGGTCACGATCTGGATATTATAGGCAGTGTGTTGTGCTACGGTTTGGTTTCTGCGGGGGGCATTAGACTGGTGACTCAGACGCGTAGTCAGTTGGGTACCTCTTCATCGCTCAGGAAGGTGAGGCCGGTTTATATACAATCTCTCCGTATGCTGCCTGCCGAATCTGTGCGTGCATCAGTCACTACTCATCTTCCTCTCGCTTGATTCGCTCAACCACTTGTCCACACCTGGGGAAACCCTGAGAGACGCCCTGTAGCTAGATATGTGGCTAGAGCGCCAAGTGCCGGAAAGGAGCATTGAGGCGGAGATGGAGGTCGAAGATGCAGACACATTACCAAACTTGACTAGGTTAGGTTTCGCAGCCTCGAACAAGAGGCACTGGAGCACCGGAGTTTGCCGATTCAAGCTGCGCATGACGTGTCCCATCTTCCATTCCGCCAGAGTTTAGCTTTGCACCTCTTACGCATCCTCGCCGTTTGAGCTTCCTTCCCATACTTACTTTCCTTCCCGCTTCCTTGTCGCCTGGGATGTCCGAGGCATTTGCTGCCTGGATTTGACTATCGGATGCAGAAACACTCGTGCTCAGGGGCTTTGGCTGAGAAGGTGCGCGCTAACTGTACATGGCGCGTAGATGGCGGGTTCTGATGCGGCGTACGCTTCCAGACCGGTTATACTACGAGCTTTTTCCAGCGAACTCAAAGAAATATATTCTTTCTTGCTGTACACCTGGGTAGAAAGCAGAGGGCTCACGTGCCTCAGTAGCTCCGTTGAGTACGCTGTTGCTTGTAGACTGAATTGCATATGTGGCGACGCCTCATATTGCCGCCGGCGGCCTCGTGGTGCCCGAGCTCGTTTCCGGACTCATTTCATAACTAGTCACTCCTCGTGACTCACACTATCTGTAGAACAGCCTCATGCAGATCTCCTTGCACCCAAAGTGGTATGCGGACAGGTTTGATCGCGCTCAAGTTGTGGGAAGCGCGCTCAGGTGGGGCGCGCTTGAGTACTTATACCGGGCATACTGAACGTGGTGTTTCAACTCATACTATCACCAGCCCACCCACGAGCACAATCCCTTACGCACGCCGTCATGTCCGAAGCAATCCTTCAAGCGGAGCTAGCTGTCGCTAAGGCGCAGTTGGCACTAGCACAGGCGCAGGAAGCCGCGCGCATTCAAGGTGCGGACGTTGTCAACAAGGGTGCCGCAGACGCAGCGGATACTGCGTCGACTTCAGCGGCCGACGCGTCATCTGTCCTGGGTAGGCGTCGTGCGTCTGATCTATCAACGTTTGGGGGCTAACATTATCCTCTGTCGTAGGCGCTATGGACTCGGGCAAAGCTGCTAGCGATAAGCATGGTTCTGCATCGCCGCTGGTCCACGAAGAGGGTGAGTAGTATGCGGTAAGGCGTGCATCGGGACGACCTGATTCTAGGCTGCAGCCGGCAAAGACGCGACGAGTGCAAAGATGACCGAAGACGCGGTCAACTGCGTCGACGCTAGCCCTCGTACGTACACAAGCCAATCATGCTTCAGATTGTGCTGACTAGACTCCACCAGACGCTGAAACCTGGACACAGCTGGTCGAGGAACCGTTCAGACACGACGCTCGTGATTCTACCGCGCACGACATCGACTTAACCACCGACGCCGAGGTCGAGACGCAGCTGGATATCGATAACCAATACGTCGCTCGTGAGCTCGCCGAGGCGTCCGAAGACGAGGATGCTGCGGAACTCGGTGACAGACACACATCCGAACGTGCGGTCAAGACAAGACGCTCGTCCGCGCAAACGGGACGCGCGGCCACTCAGATGATTCTGGCTGATGAAGATGACACGGAGACCGCGAGGTCTGCGACGCCAGCCCCGAAGAGGAAGAGGGGAGACATAGAAGAGCAGAGCTCGTGCGGGGAAGATGAGGAGAATGACGACGAGCTGGGCGCGGAAGATGTGCTCGTCGTTGCGCTCAACAAGGGCGCTGCTCCGAAGGGACCCGTCTTTGAATTCGCCGACTCCGTGATGCGCTTCGCGGCCTTTGCGTTCTCGTACGCCAGCCTGTGGGGCAAAGAGCAGCAAGAGCTCGTCGTGCTCATGATCAAACCGCTCGTGCAGCTGGAATTGGCGCATTGGTTCGAGGTAAGCGCCTCAAATTGTGGGCGATCCGCGGAAAGCTGACATGAACTTGTATAGCCTGGGCAGGAGATGCCCGGTCTTCCGCCTAGCGCCGTTTCATGGATCTCGCACCGCCGTGCGGCATGCAAGATCGACGACCCGAGCTACGTGCGCAGCACGCTCAAAGAAGCGCACCTGGAACACAAAATGCTCTCGTGCATGAGCACGATTCGGTCTCTCAAGTTTGCCGACGTTGCGCTCATGCACGGGCGGCGTGGGTACATCCTACTCGTACGTGGGATGCTTCAGGCTCGCGCGAGCAATGTCTTGGGGGAAGACTGGGCGCCGTGCGTGGGTGAAGTCGCCCGGCTGCTCAACGCTCTGGCGCGGGCGAATGGCGGTGAAGATATGGAATTCAGCGTCAGAGATTCCGTACTCACCGCGCTCACTGCCCTCGATCACGGGGCTACAGCTGCCGTGACGGCGATTCTTTTGAAGCGCGCAGACGAGCTGAAGGAGATGGAGGCAGGCGGTCTCAGGTCCAGCACGAGCAGCCCAAAGTTGATCAAGCGTGCTAGACGGTCGGCTTCAGCTTCGCCGACCAAGGCGCCGGGATTGTTTACGAGTTTGAGGTCGAAGCCGCGGGGAGCCAAGAAGACGCGCGGAGTTGGGGAAGCGTCGTCCAAGGGATCGTCGGAGAAGTAACTGCTAGTCAGATTCGTCCTTTGTATATTTTCTTGTTGTATTTGTGTCACTGTACTGCATATAACTTCAAGCCAATGATGTTATGAACTTGAGGCCGACGAGGCTGAGCGATGCGTGACGTCCGGCGAAGTCTGAGCGGAAGCGCGTCGATGCTGATGTGGGCCTAGTATCCTGGTGGAACGCACGGCCCGGGACGTCATCGTAATACAGCTTTTATAAGGTAGCGCGCAACGTACTGCAATCAGTGCAAGTAAACATCTTGGGAGTGATGGCGTGGAGAAGTCGTTCGTATGGAGAGTGTAGAATCTAGTTTGGGGGCTTGCACGCTGAGCGCTCTCTGTTCCAATATGCAGAGCGCAGAGGCTCTCGAATCTACCTTATTCTACCATTACCGTGCTCTTGATGTATTTTTAACTCAGAGTTCCAGTTGCTATGTATCCTACAGGCCTCGATGATGCGTCCACGTTCGACGCGGCATTCGTGTGTCAGAGCGACTATGGAACCTGTCAAACTCACGTGGTCGCGTCAGGGGGTTTCTTACAGAGCGTCGAGTAGTTCACCATCACTTGCTCGCCACCAGTACCCTCACACACCACATTCCAATTTGCCTACGTGTAATCTTACCCAACCATGATCGCTGTCATACTGCGAACCGGCTGTGTGCTGACCTCTGTGCTCGCACGCTCGCTCTCCCGACAGTCGCGAGGCCGCCCTTCCTCAAAACACTGCAAGAACGTCGTCGACGCGCTATCCTCTTGCTCTCAGACCCTAAGCTCCCTATTGGCACAAAGCTCTACACATAGAAGCGCTCTGGGGCCTGCTGTTTGTGACGGGCGCCCCTATCCCTCGTAACATGGGGCGGCTGTAGCCTCCTACGATACCTGACCGGCCCGACCATGCGCTGGGTTCGTCACCGGCCCGTCGGCCCCGTTCACGACAAGGCACGCGCGCGCCGGAGAACTCTAGGTTGTAGACTTCTCATACCGTAACCCTAACCTATTTTAATGGTAGCATCGCGTAGCTCAGCGAATGATATGTCATCAAACTGAACGACTCGATTTACTGAATGACACTCTCTCTTGTACAATACCCTCGGGGTCGCGTTGCGAGAAAACTCCGCCAATCGCGATCGTTGAGACGATGAACCAGTTCCTCATCTGAACGAGTGATTAATGCCACTCGGAACGTTGCTCGTAAGTACCCTTGTCAAGTCGTTCAACAAAATCAGTCACTTTTGTATGAGACTCGGCGCTTGCCCCTGTTCAAGCCCTGAGTCCTGAGCCTAAGGGCCTGATGCGTGGGAATCACGTTCCAGAGAGAGCGCCCGCGCGCTATGCTTTTCATGCGCAAACCATCACCACCGCAGTCCACACACATTTACATACGAACGTCCGTCGCTTTCATAACTAGCTCTGCCGTTCTTTTAACTGACTGTTGACTGGCGTAAACAAGTCTGAGCGTATCTGGCGACAGTGTAGATGGCGATAGTGTGTTGTGAACTCGCACAACTATGCGGCGCGACATGCGCGGCTATGTAGTTCCCGGTGAAGATCAGTGGTCGACGAGGTGTGCGAGGAGCTCCGTGCAGAACTTGAGCGGGATCCCGCCAATAACGTCGAACCACTGGTTGCCGAGGGAGCTAACCCCATCCGGAATCTCCTGTGCGTCTTACGGCGATACTCTCCACAGAGCTTCAAACTGATTACCGAGTAGGGAACGGATAGCGCAGGAGAGCTTGGAAACTTGCCCTTGCCTTCGTCGCCCACTTCGTTGGATGCGGCGGCCTCCTCCAACGCCGACCCCTCATCCGAGCCCAGCACCGCGGCGTCCGAGTCCATTGTCGACTGCTTTGCATCCGACGACGAAGCCTTCAACACTCCGACCGACCGCGAGCTGCTCTCTCATAACCTCTCGGTGTCGTCGCTCTACGTCTGGGAGATGGGCGAACTAAACGCTGTATGTGTGCATCGCTTTGATGACGCTGCGTCGCCCCATCTTCGCCCCGGCCTCTGGCTCTCGCAATATCTGGGCTATCGGGTCCGATATCTATCGCACGGTTCACAACGTTCAACGAAGTCCCGTAATGCAGTGGGCACTCTACTTGCGCGCGGTATGCATCCGCTTGACGGAGTCGCCATACCTGATCCCCGCCGCACCGAATCCCCACATCTCAGGGAGCAGGGAGTTGATATTCTCAGGGTCCTGGGTAGAAGAAAATTGGTTGTAGACCCATATTCACGTTTCACTCTGTTGTTCTGTAACGCTTGTTCTCCGTATCTCTTCCTCATTGATGACTTTCTCAATCTCTTTGTTGTGTGCAAGCTATCCGTAGCGGATATCGAAAGTCGGGCCGCTCGTTACCGGTTACTGGTTGCCTTCGATCTTCTGATTATGGTGCGCGCACATCAATATCACGACATGTTGGACTCTCTCGAACGCAAGCTCGTAGATTACTGGAATGGGCGCGCCTGCGGAAGCCGAGATTTATACCCGCGGTTTGAAACCCTCCCCCGTTGCTGATAACGCGCAAGCTGAATTCTGGCGTCGTCGCTGTTTGAAACACGGCCACTACATGATCAGACCTTATATACAATCTAGTACGCCGGGTCCAAACCTGGGCAGCTGATCCGTCAAGGCAAGCTTTCCACCAAGCGCTCTCAGATTGCAGCCGGTTTACTAACACCCGACATACAGTGCGAGGGCACACGTCCAGGCAATCCCGTGAATGAAGTTAAGCTCCGCAAGTGTTCACCAGAGCACCTGCCTTCCCTGCTCGCCGCTGGCGCAACGGACACCTGCCCTCACTCCTTATCAGCGCCGCTTTGCCCCATACTCAAAGTCTCTGGCACATACGACCTCTACAACACCTCAAGATCAAGGCCTGATGTATGAGACAGGTGGCTCCAAGCAGGTGCAGGCGACCGAGTCCATGCGCGATGCATATCTCAGGAGTTTAGATCACATACGCGCGCAATAAGCGAGCCAGACGCAGAACGTTGTGCGTCGTACCTCACCAGCCATCACACCACCGGCCGCCCTGCGCAATGCGCCACCGTCTCAGCCCGGACAGTAGTGGTTCATGCACCGCATAGGTGTCTCCGAGTCTCAGTGGACGGCCGTAACTCAGACGGCCGGCTCTGCTCACAACGCGCTGCAAGAAGAGGCGCGGATTTCGAGCGGCAAGGTACAATGCATCGCGCATTGCCGGATCGCACACATCTGTCAGGGTCTTGCCTTATGCTGGAGGGGAGGCTACTCGTCAACGCTCCTTTATCAGGGCGGTGTAGGCACTTACCCGCTTACTCATCTAAATGACGTATACTCCTAGTGGCCGACGGGACGACGAGGTCCGCGCGAGGCGAGTGCGCACAAGACGCCTCTACCTAGCGGAGTACGCCGCCCTCAGAATCTGCAAGATGCGCCTACGGCTGACGAACACAGAAGGCTCAATCGATGGACTCCCGTTAACGTTGCGATCGCAGATGAAGTTCAAGATCGCCGATTGTACGGGCCTGATAAGGTGGCGTCGAAGAGGAGGGAGAAACGCTGATAGGTGCTGAAGGCAGCTGAGCGCGTGAAGGGCTTGAGCGACAAGACGAAAGCTGGAGTAAGGGAAAGGAGTTCCTGGAGAAGCGGTGTTGGGAGAAGGAAAGAAAGTGCTGGGAAAAGAAATGGACGAGAAACCCAGGCTTCACGAAGTCGCCGATCTCGTGGATCTGGTGCAATGTCGGTGAAGACGACAGTCTGAAGGTGTCCGAAGGGATGATCCAGCTGTCAAATGTGAGGCCTGGTCTGTTTACAGCCGTCGCAGAGCTCGCGCTCACGGTAGACCGGCGCAAAGCTCAACCCAAGCGCGTGGTGTAGAAATATCACGATAGGTTCAGAGACTGGTAAGAGACCATACATAGCGGGAGGATGTCGTTATCGATCGAAGAGCATATAAATCGTATCGCGCATCGTATATCAAGATTTACGGGTAAACGGAGAACGCTCGGGCTAACAGTAGCGTTCAATCTAGCTTGAGCTCAAGAAGCTAAGCGTCGCCAATGTCAGAAGGGCACGTCCTGAACCAGCACGATGCAGCCTCATCGCCTATCCGTCCGCCTCTGAGAGAGCATCCTTGTGCTCCTGACCGCGTTGGCCGCGCTTCGATGCTGTGGGGAATTCACATGGGAGATTGCGCTTTGTACATTGCCTGCGAATTTGAGAGTTAGAACGTGTCGTTCGGTGCTTGCGGGTACGAGAAAACATGACGGCGAAGAGAGTTCAAGAAGGCGTGTCAAGAGAACGGTGGATCTCCGCTGATAGTGTCCGTACGGCGTACGCGCCTCAATGGCTTTAGCAACTCCGCGCTGGTATAAAGTGCGGAGTCTCGGATCGTAGAGCAGACGTCTCATCGCCACAACTAAGCTCGCTCAGACATCATGACGAGTCTCACTCACTCGCAGGTCTTCTCTCCGCTGCCCAGCACTGGGTTGCATGATATCTTGCGGCCTCGGCAGAAGAAGCATGCAAGAAACCCTCGACCCTTCCGGGGGCCCTTATTTGGTCCGCGGGTCCGCTTCCGACGACGCCGTGGCGGCTCGTCCTCCGTCGGTGAATCTCCAGCTTTCGCGCAAGAGGACGTGCTGGGCGTCATCAAGTCAGGCGATCCCGTCTCGTGGATGAAAGTAACGTTTTGCACGGCGTCCTGCTCGTCATCCCGTATCTCGACTGGCGCGATCGATAGCGCTTTGGTGGCGGGGAGTAGAAGTGTCGGCCGTACGCTCTGCACCAATGGCGTAGCTGGACCAGCGCTGGGCGGACGCGGCGCGCATGTAAGTTCTGCCGGCGAGTCTCCCGGTCTTGCATGACAGAATGTGCCGGGCGTCATCGAGATAGGCGGTGTCGTTTCGTGGGAAAAGTGAACACCTGGCGTAACGTCCTGCTCGCCATATTCGATCTCGACTGGCGTGGTCGATAGTACTTCGGTGGCTGGGAACGGAGGCGTTGGCCGTACGCTCTGCAGCGATGGCGTACCCGTATCGACGCTGGGCGGAGACAGGGCGCGTGTGGTCGGGCCCGCGCTTGCCGGTGAGCTGAGTTTCAACATAACGTCCCCGAGAGCGTTCGCGAGACTGCTGAATTGCGAGCGTGCAGCATCTGGGATTGGCGGCATGCTAGACGGAAGCCACCAATCGTCACTGAGTGGGAACGGCTGGGAGGTAGGCGGGTTGTGCTCTAAACGCGGGGCGTAGTGACCGTGAACATCGCGGTAGTGTGTGCGGTAGCTGGGGTGATCCTGTGTGTAGCCGACTCCTGACTAGCACTCTATCAGCTGCACGCACATGGACAAGAAACTGAGAGGCATACAGGATAAGGCCCATCATTCGATGCAGCTGAACTCTGCCCACTCTGTCTTGTTTCTGTGTTGTGCGGCGGGAGTGGGGGGGAGCCAGCGGTAAGCGCGACTGACATGGGCGCAGGGTTCATATTTCGGTACCTGTAGCCTGCGCTACCTTGCGCGACAGGACGCGGTACGCCGTAGGGAACGACAAGGTCCGCATCGTGGCGCGTTTGCGTATACACAGCTCCTGGCGTACAATGAGCAGCCTCCTGAGCTGCGAAAGCCTTTCGAAGCGTGAGAGCGTGTCGACAGTGAAAGTGATTCGGACACACCGGAGCGAAATCCTGTTTGGGACGGTACGGCGTGTACCGATGTCCAGCCAAAGCTCGAAGTTGAGGCACAAGGTGCGCTGAGTCGAGCTCGTCGCGCCCGAGTGGAGGGCCGCGGCAAGCAGAGGGACCTGAAGCCCAAGACATCTTGAGTAACGCGGCGAGGGAGAAAACCCGATGAGGCTGGTGTGCGTTTGAATCGGGGAAGTGGCGAACAACAAACGGGAACAAACTTTGAGAAGCGTTGGTATAAGAGCACATCCGCGAGGGCGCAGATGAATACCGAACCTGGCGCTTAACGAGTTCCGTCTCGTTGATTAGACCATACACGAATAGGGAGCGCCGGAAGAGAAGTAGACACGCGGCGAGGTGAGGAAAGAAGAACACGTACAATCGCGCCTGTCCATCGTAACGGCGCTCCCACGCGCGCGCCGTCCGCGTAGCTTTGCAGAGACCATACCTAGACTTGAGGGAGGGAACTCACCTCACAATTCAGGAGAAGGTCTTCTGACGCGCCACTGAAACATGTCGATTGTCACAGTAAGAACACGAAGTAAGGGTCATATTAAGTAGATCAACTTGAAGCCTTCCGAAACGAAGCTGCCGGAGATGACGCGACGACGAATGCTATTGCTGCCGCGCGGAACATGCAATTACAGTGGGGGCCGGTGGACCATGGTCAGTGCACTTGTTGGTCCAGAACCTGTTTTTCAGACTCGCCCTCATCCTAGCGAATCGTCGGGCCATGGCAGAGAAGTCATACTTGGGGCGCACCTCACTCTCGGTTGTTCTATCAGAGCGGCCTGATCTCCTCAAACTGGAACAACCGCCAGCCGCCTCAGAGCGCCCGCAATGCATTGAGATTCAACAGGAAGGTTAAGGCTGGCGAAGCACGGCAGGTATAATCGAGCGCATACAGGGACCACCAGACATAGGTCACCGGGTCGGAAGATTGATCGGGCTGTACGTCAAAGGCCGCGCGGTTAAGGTTCAGGCTAGTGGCCGAGAAGAGGACATGTGAATTCCAGAAAGCAAGCATTGTTCGTAAACTAATCGAGGACTTGACTTGTATAAACAGCCCCAGATACTCTTCAGACTCCTCTCTGAGGTGTACTAAGGGCTGGCATAGCAGTCAGGAATGGGAGCCGAAGAAGAGTATGAAGTTTCGGTGACGCGTGCCATTAAGCGAGCCTCGAGGGCCTTATAGATGGCCAATCGTCATCGTCGCTCTCACGTCGCTCATCGTACCTCGGCGCCTGCCTTGATGGAGGAGATCCGAACAACGTGGCAAAGATATCGGTATTCGTGCTGAAGCGCTGGCTGGAAAGGCCGAGTCCGTCTTGACCAAGCAACCCATGTCACCTCGATGCGCCCATCCTGAAGCCCAGCATCAACGCTAGAACAACGTATCTGATGCGCAGATACCGACCTTTGGTACTAGAAGTCGGTGTTTAGCAACCAGCCGGCAATTTACGGCGTCTCAGATGCGATGCAAGTGACGATCTACAGACTTCAGCGTCACTTATTTTGGCGGCGACGCATATCTGTCATGTGTAGAGGCGATTTCGGAGATTCAGACGCGAATGATTGAGTATCAGACGACATGAACTTGTATTCTGCTCGCCAGCCGGTGTACGCCGACCTCACTACTTGTTCTTTGCTTTCTGCGCTCGAGCCTTCCCCCCCCTGCGCCTCACCGGTTTACCTCCGTTGTCCTGCTTGCTGACCGTGGACTTTGCCGGCGCTGATACAACCATAGTGTCAGCGCTTTCATCATCGGTTTCAAGCCCTCCTTCAATCTCGTCGCCATTTGCATCCCACGCACGTCGCCTAGGCCGCTTCGCCTTTGCGAGTTTCTCTTTCCTGCGATCCGCGCGCGCCGTCATGTCGTCCACTTCCTCCGACGAGAGCATTGAAAGCGGGTCGATAGAGATTCCCTCTGATGTGTGGACCGCTAGAAACCTTGCCGCGTCCGTCCTGAACTGCTCGAACTGCTCGCGCCACTTCGCAGCTTGCGCCCTGCGAATGAACGCTTGCTTGCATGCATAAGCGCGCACGCCGTCTGCCCAAGCGGCGTCCTGCGCCCACAGCTTGTCCTCGTCGCCCAGTGTAGTTGTAAGCTCCGGCGCCACACGTCGTTCCCAGATCAACGCCATGGATTCGTTGAAGTCAAGTACACGCTGCATCTCGGCGTCGAGCAGCCGCACCTCCTCCACCCAGTGTATGGCACGCGCGCGGCACTTGCTCCACTCGACCAAAAGTTCTGAAAAGGACGCTGATAAGTATACCCGACATTGTATCATTGAGCACACGGACCGTCGGTGATCTCCAGGCCTGATTCAGGCGTTGAACTGAACCAAATCCAGGGAAGCTCATAATGTGTATCACCCGACGTTGTAGAACCCTTTCTCTCCGAAATAAACCTTTGCGCTTCGAATTGGGACATGCCCTCGATCTGTTCGAGGAGACGATCTCCCAAGGCGCGGCAGTCCGATACCAAGAGGTCTCGCATAGTTTCTTCCCACGTTCCGCGACCCATGATTGCCAAATATGCGCTGCGATGACGCCGGTACGCGTCGGCATCCCTTTGGACGTTTGCGTCCACGGCCGCCTGAGCAGTGCGTGCGCGCGTATTTGCTCGCTGGCCGGTGATGTTGGCGATCTTGAATTTGTTGAGACAGCCTTTAAGACGTAGCTGATGTCGTAGGTTATCCAATTCGTCCACCATGGACGCCCATCGGAGTTTAGCTTCCACCGCACGAGCCGCAGCAGAGACGAGAGCCTGATCGCCGTCAGGCGGGCCAGAGGGCATGTACAAGTTGACAGTCAGTGCATCTTTTCGGCTGGGATCGCGTTCTTCGGAAGTCAAAGCAGCGTATGTTGCCGGCATGACGAGCTCCTGGTCCTCGCGGAATTTACTGATGGCGCGCACCAGGTTGTTCATGGCCTGCGCTCTTGACGTCGCCTGCTTATCTGTACCCCCCTCGAGCTGGTACTTGGATGAGATCCGTTGCCTACTCCAGGGTCAGTCTTTGATAGTAGCGCACGGGTTGCGAGCAACTCATACCGTTCGTCTTCAATGTGAAGCCCTTTCAGTAGGAGACGCGCTAACTCAACTTCGTCATCCAATTGCCCCTCCGCAGCAGTTCTTTGAGCGGACCCCGCCGCCTCTTCGGTCTTGCGTCTGATTTGGGCGATAGATACGTCTGGAAGTCGAACATTTAGATGCCGCTTTGCTGGCAAAGTATACGGGCGTACTCTGCTTTACAACGTGATACGGGCAAGCGTGGTCCTTTGCCTTGGACTGGTCACAGCTATCCCAGCGCGCGTGGCGCTCACGTTCTTTTTGCAACCTTGCAGGATCTTGATCTTCCAACGCCTCCGTGAACTCGGTGAAGATGGCCGTTTGCGTCAAGGCTTCGTGAAGAGCGCGCTCCATGCGTTCCGTGAGAGAATTGGCTGTCGAGAAATCAAAGGTAAGGCGTCGATGCACGACGTAGATTGAGAAACTCACCAATTTCGCACAGTTTTCTCCAGTTCCATGAACCTGCCATGTCGTCCATGACGTCGTTCATGCCGCCCGGTCCCATTTCACGTAAGCTCGCTGCTGCAGGGTTCGCGCCCGCCCAGACGCGCTCCGGGGTCTCGCCGTCGGTCAAGCCCGTGCCGCGTAACCAAAGATAGGCCAGGCGTATCTGGCACCAGATTTTGTGGGCGTACAAGTGGAACTTGGGCACAACGTATGTAAGCGCACCAGAGTTGGCCAGCGAGAGTAGCCGTTGCGCCCCGGTCCATACCACCCGCACCCCGCGGATCTTGCCGAGACGTTCGGTCAAGTTCTTGCTGTACTGGCAGACCACGTCGTAGGACACCGTGACCTCAGGCGCTCGTATGAAGGTCATTGCACCGCTTAGAATATAGTCGATAACGTTGAACCTAGCATGACCGATTTAGCCGTGAACGAAGAAGAATAAGCGGATGCTCTACTTACCGCTCGCCGACACGCAAAGTGGCCAAACCAAGGGGCATCACGAATTCGTGACGGGCACAAAAGCAGCCGGCCACGCCAGTAGTCCGGAGGCCCTTACCACCCTTCATATTCGCCAGGAATAACGCGCCGAAACGCGAGCAATCGCCGTACTGAAGGCTAATGAGACTACGAGAGCACCATATTACAGGGCGGCGGCGCACCTTGTCAGTGATTTCTTTGTCCGTCTCGCAGATGTATGCTGCGTAATCGTCCCAAGGAGCCATATACGCTCGACCATCAGTGAGATTCGGATCTGTTTGAGTTGTTGATCGGGTCAGTTTATTAGCAAGCCTGAAGTTTGCGTCTAGTGCCAAGATAACGCGATACAACCAACTGCAACGACGTCAGACCATGTATTCACACGTTCGAGCAAAGAAAAACGCGAACCGAAATGGGCTCAACGCCCAATCGGCTGGAACGTTCAGGTCAAAGTTAGGGCAGGCAGGACATAGAACGGCAGCTGCGCCGGGTGGCGTGCCGGCGATGCCGCCTTCCTCATGCCCTCGTCCTGCCCGTTTGAACATCAGAATGTGGCGAAATTGTCGCACGCAGTTAGAGAGCTGCTGGCGGACGCTCTATCTCCTCTCATCAGCATGCTGTTGTCCATGAAGAGAGAAGAACACTACAGCAAGGCCCTTCAACAAAGCTCCATCCGTACCCGCCTCTAGCGCTCGATAGAAGTCGTATACATTCAACCGACCGAGCAAAGATAGTCGAGTAAAGAGATCTAGCGCCTCCAACGTAGTCGCCGTTTGAGGGTTCTCACATGTAGCGGGCCAAAACCCCCAGCGTAGAAGCTGTATGTGATAAGGAACGTGGCGTCCGAGCTCGCAACCGCAAAAGTCGACGGGTACGTTATGCACGCCATTAGTATGAATGATGGTGAACCGTTCAATCGCATGGAGGACGCGGAAGTCGCATATCTCCCCGGGCCTATGGAGAAGTTGAATGCGGATACCAAGTTCAGCACGCTCGACGCGCTCGTAGAAACCCTTTGAGTTGTTGAAACGCTGCAAGTGTGGTCCATTGTTGAGCGGCTTCGCGGTTCATGTTGTTGAAGGGCCAGTGCGACGTACCTCTATGTTATGCAGAGGTGTGTAGCGATGCCAGTGCACGATGCAGTCTTTGCATAAGTCAGCGCCTCGACAATCCTCGCATCGATATTCAGGAAACCCTTCTTTCTTGCACGATGGACAGTGCGTCAGTCGCAATGCTTCGCCGCGCCCGTCTCGCCGAAGCATCTCTTCCAGAAAGCGCTCCCGCCATCGAAATTTCCAGGGTAAGATCGGAAACTCCTGTTAACATGAGCGACTATTCGACGCGCGTCGTCATGACAGGGATACGTACCAACCAAAGTTTACGAAGGCGTTTCGTGATTGAAGGCGCAGCGTCATGGCGCTCAGAGTCCTGATCGTCCACGCTCGTCGGTGGTGCTTCCAGAGACGAGTCGACGGGCTCAACAACAGCGGGAACTTCTGTTTCAGACGCTGCCAAGACGCGTTGAGCACCGAGCGTTATGACACGAGGAAAGTTCGACGCACCCTTGCGTTTCAACCTCTTGTGTACGTCGTCGAGAGACTCGCCATGAAAAGCCTTGCGAAGGATAGCGGCTAACTGATCTGGCTGCCTAGGTTTGTCCGCGTGCTGGCACTTGTTTGTGTCTTCCAGGCCCACGGTCGTCGGCAAAACAGCCTTCCCAAACACGAAGGGTTTGGTGAGGTCGACAGGGAGCGGGGTGACGAAGTAGCTTGATGCCTTCGTTGCTGTGCTCGGCAGAAGGCCAGACGTGGCCCCAGAGAGGCCGGGGAACAGGCGAATCCGTTTGCGCGACTTGCGCTGAGTAGGCCAGCTCATGAGGGTCGTACCCGAAGGCACCCCCAGCGGGACTGGGGAACGACCAGATCCATTGGCGTGAGACGAGCTGAGTGGGCCAGCTCATGATGGTTGCCTCCGCAGGTACGACCGGCGTCTTGGTGACTGTGATGGAAGCGCCGGCACGCTAGACATGTCGGGTTACTGTGCACAAAAATCAATTGAATGCGCACGCAATCATACGGTGAAACGTACCTTTTGCTAGTAGCCGGCGCGGCAGTGCGACACGGTCTTCACAGCGGATATAACCGGGCACGACCGACATCTTGATGACTATGATGGAAGCGCGGGCACGCTAGCCATACGAGGCTACATATAGAAACCGAACCAACTGAACAAATCTTCAGCCCTCAGGTCTCAGGCACCGTCGACGGCGGGAATGCAGTATCTGCGTCATCAAGAGGACAACCAGACTACTAAGC